ATATAGCTCTAAAAGGAAATTATTTATTGACTGGGAATAGATAATATGGACATATGGTACAATTCAAAAGATATAAAAGAGAATACAGTAAAAATTGTCTCCTTTCTACGTATACTTCACCTACTCAATTCTGCTTCCAGAGGCAATTCCTGTTACCTGACTCATATTTATCCTTTCAGATAACCTATGCATATACAGGCATCCATATTTTTTCAACAGATGGTAGCATATTCTCTATATTTCTACCGCCTTGCTTTTCTTGTTTAAAAATATTTTTGGTGAGTATCCCATATCAATACATATGGAATGGCCTCAATTTTAAAAACAATACTATTGTATTCTGTTTTAAGAATAGAATTAAACTTATTTGACCAGTTGAGAGGCATTTAAGTTGTTTCCATTCCCTTGCCATCACAAACAATACTGCAGAAAAAACCTTGTGCGTGTATCATTTCACACACATGCAAGTATATCTGTAGGATAAAGTCCTAGAAGCAGAATGACTGGCTAAAAGATATGTACATTTTGAATTTTGATAGATATTACCAAACCATCTCCATAAAGGCTGTAGCTGTTTCCACCCCGGCCTGCAGCATGTAAGAGTGCTTGGTTCCTTATACCTTTGTCCATACACGGTGTGATAAAACTTTTGATCTTTGACAATTTTATAGGTAGAAAATGGGATCTTATTATGCTTTAATTATGCATCTCTCTTACTAGTTTGAGTATCTTTTCATATATTTTGGAGCCATGTACCTTTCTATGAAGTATTCATTTCCTTTACCCATTTTTTCCTGTTGGATTGTAGTATGTTTTTCTTATTGACTTGTAAAAGCTCTTTGTTTTTTAGAAAACATTAACCCTCATCTATGGTATGAGTTGCAAATATTTTTTGATATTTTTGTCATGCATAATTTTTAATGTTAATGTTAATTTAACACTACTTTCAGTAGAAAGTGCAAGGTAGGGAATCCAACTTTATTTTTTTAGTGTGGCTATCCAGCCTTCCCAACAAGAAAAACCCATCATTTTCTGTTCTGATTTGAAATGGTTCCATTGTTACATACTTAGGAACCTATGTGTTTAGCTTTATTCCTGACCTATATAATCTGTTCCATTGATCCATCTATTTATGACCCAGTACCATGCTGTTTTTATTATTATAGCTTTATAATTTAAAGTTCACGGTAGACTAGGTTGCTCTTGATGCTTTCTTTTTTGCTATTTGCTCATTTATTTTTTATATGCTTTTTAGAAGCAGATTGTGTAGTCTCCTCCACTCCCCTGCCCCTGATTATTTAGTATTTTTAGAGATTGTGTTAAATTGGTAGATTAACTTAGGAAGAACTGAGGTTTTTATTATGTTGCATTTTTCTATCCAAGAACTGATATGCCTTTCCTTTACTCAAGTCTTCTGTGTTTTCCCTCAGTACTATCTTTAAAAATGTTCTTCATATAAACCTTACACATTTTCATTATGTTTGCTACTATTCCAGATAAGATCTTTCTTTCACTTTATCTTCTGTCTGGTTGTTGTGTGTCTATGAAGGCTTTGGAATCTTATGTTAGGTCTTCATCCAGCCGTCTTACTGAATTCTCTTATTACATAAGAGATTCTCAGCTGACTCTCTTGGGTTTTCTAGATAAGCAGTCCTATCATCTGCAAATGCTCATAATTTTACCTCCCACCTCCCAATTTTTTTTTAACCTCATGTCTGTCTCTCTGACTTAATGGGAATGCTTGTAGTATGGTCTCATTAAGCATTAGGTCTCCAGTGGTTTTTACTTTCTAAAGATCCTTTTCAATTCCCATGTAAAATGATTCTTGCCCCATTGTCCACGGTTACGTGTGGCAATCTTTTCAATCATTTCCCGTAAAAAGTAAAGAATGAAAGGGCTCAAGCTAGAATAGCTTTTGTTTTATTGGGCAGACATCAGCCTCCTGGTGGCTTCCGCTCGTTTGTCCTCTGAAACGACAGAAGAGGAGACCAATCTGCTGCACATGGCAGCCCTTCAGCCTTCTGAGGAGACAGTGGGTCTCCTTTACCTCGTTTCCCTCTGCTTTACAGCACTGGAGTTTAACAAACGCCCTTTGTCCTACCAATGGAGAGGTGCGTAGGTTGAGAGTCCTTTGAAGACCAGCTGCGAGCAGAGCTCCGTGAGCAGACTCCACGGTGTGCTTATTCCCCATCAGCAATCAGCTAATTTGCTGATGCATCAGGGTTTCCAGATACTTCCTTGCCCTCACATTCCTGGAAACTATACATATAAAGCCATCCCTTTCCACTGTCCTATGGCACTTGTAGGGAGAATCCCACACTTATGATCCAAAGTGAGACCATTTGAGTCATATTTCTTACTGTCTTTTGAATTTTCTGGTTGGCTCTAGACTTCTCACATAGTCAGATCAGTCATATTATTGATAAAGCTAAAATCCCTTCTTACCTAAGCACCAGCAACATGCTACGGTTCCATTTGCTGTCTAATCACTTACTTCAGTTTGGAAGTTCTGTGAATTTGAATTCTCCTGCAAACTCTTCAAAGCTCATAAGTCATGTGGATTCAGTTGCAATTATGACAAGTTTTTTATTTTGAAATAAAAAAATAATCTATGGAAGGGTGGCAACTCTTCGGGTTTCAAATTCCAAAATTTTTGAAGTTTTCCTTTGGCTAGAAAGCAGGGACAGCTGACATGAAGACTTTTGTGACATTTAAGTGAGGTCAGACAGGATAAATAGACATGGAAATGAACCGTTTGTATCTGATCTTTTTTGCTTTGTTCTTGGTGCTTGAGCATAAGCCAGAAACTTACAAACAATAAAACACAACCACATTTTGTATTCCTTTCGCTTTCTTGTCTGGTGCCCTATTTCACAGATGCAGTGAGGGCCTGGTGCACATTCCTCAAGTCTGTGTGTCCTATTTATGCACTAAAAGCAGGATCTGCTCCCGTATTTTGGCTTCGGTACCATGTAAACCTTTATTCTTTAAATGAGTGATGAGACACAACAAGCAGTTGACTATATATATGGAATTTCCTCCTTGACAGACTTCATAAAACTTAAGAGCAAACACTTCCCCCCCAAACCAGCATCATTGGCATTTAACAACCACATTGTGACAAAACGAAGCCAGTGTGTTCTTCCAGTTTCTAGAGATGAAGTTTCCTCACCTACCCTTGTTGCTTCCCCTTCAGCAGAGACGGCACCTGGGCACGTGATAAGTGATTGGTAAATATTTAATGAGTGAATAAAGTCTGAAATTCAGTTCAGACCTCAGTGTGCTTATTGAGGCAATAATTTTATTGCTTGTTATGATTAATGTACATTTAAAACATCTCTTCAGCCATCAATTCAAATAAGATAAGCAATACATGTACCCCAGAACAATATTCTAGATATCAGTAGGGAATTACGTTCTCACTCGTAGGACATGGTTTTTCATTAATTGACTGAGGCATAATTAGTTGTCAGTGGACGTGTGGCTCAATGCCATCGATCCACTCAGTGCATCTAAAGATAGTACTCTCCGAGGGCCTGGTCAGGGGGTAGGTTCTGAAATAACAACCAGTAACGTTTGGGCAGTTTGCGATGACCTTTTCCAGACACAGGCACTAAATAGCAGGTCCACAAATAGACCCAGGTTCTCCCCTCCCCTGCCCCCTTCCTTCAGAGGAACACATTGTGAGTTTTTGTGCTTTTAGACATGCGAGGGGGGATTGTTGCTCTTTTCAGATTTTCTGCTTTAGAAAACTTCTAAATTAGTTTGTTTTCTGAGTCAATGATACTTTTCCTTTTCCTGTTCTCCGTGGTATTCTCTAAGGTTGGTACTGAGAAGTGAAGTAGTCAACAGAAGTAGACATAACCTGAAAAAAATCTATCTGTGGATGAACGGTGGCCACTCCTGATTCTAACGCTTTTGTGGACAATCATTAATAACAAAACAAACATAAAGAAAAACAAAAACAAACAAGTAGATGAAACCCCTACCCTTCTGAGAACGAACATGGAGGCTATCATACTGTTGAGTTCGTTAACCAGCATCCAATGCACATCTCCCAGGAACAGGAGCCTGCTCTTCAGCACTCAGGTTAGGAATTCCTTCATCAGTAAGGAGCCTCACCTGTAACTCTCTCCAGAGCCTCTCCAAATCGTGGCTAAAGGAAAGAGTACTGAGTACTTTAGTTGTATAATTGCTCTAGGCGATGATGTCAAGCAGACTAAAGAGAATGGAAAAGAGGCTCAAAACTATTCCAGCTCATTGGCAGGTTCAGAGAGCTCGGCCTTCGAATCCAGCAAATCCATTTGTGTTTAAATGGTTGGGCTGTTAGAATATACCAAACCCGCTGCCAATTAGCTACCACGACAGCACTTTTCTTTTAATGGAAATGGGAGATTTAGGAATAGCAACTTTGGAGATTTTATTTGGCAGTTAGAATTCTTTTTGCTTGCCAGGATTAAGCTTGCCTTGAAAGGTATTATCTTCTTTAGAGATCTTCAGTTTCTGTAACTTCAGTGGCTTCGGCATGATGGCCATGTACAAAGTCATCCCTCACGTTAAGTTTTCCACAATTCTGGATCTGTTAATGAGATAATTAGGGTCGTTGGTATTATAGATTGGTTTAACATCATCTCAATCAAAAAGTGCCCTCCCAGCCAAAAATTGATACAGAAAATAATGTAATCTTGGAGATTCATTAACCAAAAAATTAGTCTGTTTTCTGAATTAGAAAAAACATTTGTCTGATTCTATTCCAAAGAGATTCTGGAAACCACATATTTGACAAAAGTTGACAACAGTAGAAATTATTTGATAAAGTAATCTTAGTGGACAATGACCATTTTGTAGAATCTTGCGTTCTAACTCTGGTGGAAATAAAAAAGGAAAGATTAATTTATTTGTTGTTAATAAAAGATCTTCACTTACTACAGGAATAAAATATGCTGAGTTGTTTAGCAGCGGCATGATATTTAAAATTATTATTCTCGCTTTGTGTTTAGATCTTTCTCTGGAATCAAAGGACTTCAGCTGAAAGTTAACCTTCAGCCCAGTGATAATTACTTTTTCTACGTGAGAGCCATCAATGCATTTGGGACAAGTGAACAGAGTGAAGCTGCCCTCATTTCCACCAGAGGTACTTTCTCCTTTGCACACAGTGAATGTCTCCCAGGCATTCCCATTCCTTCCTTTCTGCTACCCAGAGAGCAGCTTCTTAAAGGCCCCAGTCTGCTGGCTGTGCTTGGTTTTTGGCATGAGGACCCAAGATTGGTCAAAGGTTAAGACGTTGCTTTTATTTTTCTGGCTTAGAAGTTCTCAGTCTTGGTTACCCATTAGCAATCTGCTTGGGTGCTTAAAAAAGACCGAAAAGAAGTGAGGAATGAAAAAAATGGTCATTATGTTGTCTGAGCCTAGACTCAAAGTTGGCACACGATTGAGGGTGCTACTTTAAATGATTTGCTTAGCCAGCAAAACCTTGTGCAGGTGCCTTGTTTGTGGTGTAGTCAGGGCCAGCCTGATGTTTATAAAGACAGGAGAGCTGCCTGCCCAGAAATGTTTTCCCCCAGCCCCAGTGTGGTGCCTGCACCTTCCACTGTTAGAGCCACTCCTGCAGGTTGCCCCAGTGCATCTTCAGACTTCACGTGCATGTGAATCTCCCGGGGGCCTTGTTCAAGTATGGATTCTGATTCAGTAGGTCTGGGGTGGGGCCTGAGAGTCTTCTTTCTAACTAGTTTCCAGGTGATGTAGGTGCTGCTGTTGCAAGGAGCACACCTTGCATAGCAGAGTGAGCTCTAGCATAGGAGGCGCACCAGGTAGTACCCAGCCTCTGGCATCCACTACTGCCTTATCAGGGATGGCATTTTCAGCTGCGGATCTGCAAAGCCTGGGTGGGGGATTTTGATGTCAGAGGAAAGGGAGACTAAGGTCTGACATACGGGGCTTGGCCCAGGGACAGCGCTTGACGTGGCCATATTAGAGTCCTCTTTTCTTCACTGCAACAGGAACCAGATTCCTCTTGTTGAGAGAAACGGCCCATCCTGCTCTGCAGATTTCCTCAGACGGGACAGTGATCAGCTTCGCTGAGCGGAGACGGCTGACAGAGTAAGTAGAGGAAGAACGCACGAGATGCCTCTGCAGGAGAGTCTTCTGAGGGCTGTCGCCTCAGTGTGGCCTCCCCTGAACACATTCTTGGTTTAATGACCCCGCCCGGGTGTGTGGTATTGAATATAAATGTGTGCACTCCCAGACAGTTCCGTTCCGGTTCATTACTAGCGGAAAGTGACAGAGATAGTTCATAACTTGGAGCAAGTGTCCATATTGTTACCAGAACTATAAACACAGACGGTTTTGTTTAAAACATAGGCTCTATTAAGGCATCATCTTTGGTTTAATGAAAAAAGAGTCCAGGTTTGTTCTTCTATTATTTTCAACAGCAAACCTGATTTTGTATCCATCCATTTGAAAAGGAGTGGAGGAGAATGACACTCAGTTGAGTTTCTAGTTTGGGCCACATGCAGGGTTCTCAGACTTTCTTGCCCCTCCCCAGTAGCTCCCACAAAAAGAAGGATCCAAGTAAAGGAGGAAAAAGCTGAAGGCACAGAGGGGAGCCTGCTCTGCAGTTTACCTGCAGTCTCTCATGGTTATTTTGAGGGTCAAAATGGTCGAGTGGGAGAAAGTATGTGAAAGGCTTTTGAAAACCATACCCAACGTGAACCCCACACTGCTGGCGCTGATGCGCTGGTGTGGGCTGCCCCCTGCTCAAGATAAAGCACTGAGCTGACCAGCGGACACTTGCCCTGCTTTCCTGTCAGCTTGCTCTTCCCCTGTCTGTGGCCCAGCTCAGGTGTCACCTGCTCCTGGAGATGGCCCAGCCTTCTCTAGGGCCTGGAGCCCTTTGATCATTTCTGTGAAAAGGTCTGAGCACATGTGTGGTTTGTCAGCCACTCGATCCTGAATCATCCTCAAGCAGCATCCCTATCTTCTGAATCTTTGAATCTAGGATGGAGCCCGGAACACTGCAGATGCTAAACATATACAAATGAGTGAATTCAGGAAAAAAAAGATTTAAGAAATAGACTGAGCTTTTCTGTCTTTTTTGGATTTCTCAAAAAATTAAAAAAGAAAAGAAATAGCCTCGAGGTTGGTAAGAGTTCATAGATAATAACTGATGATAACTGTAATGCATTTTATAGAATTTTATTTATTTATTATTAAGTTGAAGATCAGCTCATAAATATCAGGCAGCCGGGCTTTGCTCCAGAGAGCAAGGGCCTGTCAGTAACTGCCTCTCTGAAATGAGGTTGTTGGGTAAAGACATGAGAAGGTGAAATACAGTCCCTTGCATGAATCGTTTTCTCATCTGTTAAGGGGAGAGGGAGAGTGTGCTGACTGAATATTAATGCCGCTCAAGTTAAAAATGCCTCCTTGCTGTCTCAGCCATTTCAAAGCAAAACTGAGCAATTCATGCAAACAAGGTCACCTGCCAGCAGTTGAAAGTGCTTTGGTTCATTTCACTGTGCCTGTTTCAAAAATAGCTAAGGTGAGACAAAAAGAGATCTTTCAACAACCTCAAACGCAGCTACTACAACGCAGAGAGGCCAGAGTCCCAAAGGCTGTTGACCACAGCCCCCTCAAAGCAGGCTCATCGCACCTGGTAATTCCACGCTCTGCTCTGCGCGGGCCTCACCAGCACCTTGTTAGTAAAGAGCAGCACCTCATTTGGTCTTGGTGCCCAGTAAGGTCAGCAGACTATGGAACGCGTTGTTAAAGAAGGTTTTGGAGACTCCTTTTTTTGCAAATTTTGGAAAACTTTGCAAGTCACATTCTCTTGGAACTCCCTACCTGCCTCCCTTGTTTTTAATCAGTCTCTTTAAAAGCAGAGATTATGCCATTTCTTTTTGTCCTGCCGTTATTCTAGTTATTTCCTGGTTCCCAGATCCTTCAAGAGATACAATGTGCAGTGCATGCCTGTTGTGTGTGGTAGTGGAGATATGTCAAAGACATATGGAGTTTTTGGGGAATTCTGTGGTGATCAAGTCAAGGTTAGGGGCACAATGAACAACGAATCTCTTTAGTCAAATTCCAGAAGTTTCCAAGGCTAGAATCCTGCTTAAACTGTGCATGAGTTTGTAAATGTTGATGTTTATGAGATAAAGGCTGGCGACTCCTGATCAACTTTGCCTACAGAATCCCATCAGTGCTGGGCGAGGAGCTGCCTGCCTGTGGCCAGCATTACTGGGAAACCACAGTCACAGACTGTCCAGCTTATCGACTTGGCATCTGCTCCAGCTCGGCTGTGCAAGCTGGTGCCCTGGGACAAGGGGAGACCACGTGGTACATGCACTGCTCTGAACCACAGAGGTAAGCTGGAGCCCTGCCCCTCCCTTCTGAATCAAAGTGTCATGAGTTGATGTCTAGGCAGAGGTCTCTGAGGGCCCTGATAAATAGCATCCCACCTCTCTGCCCAAGTTCTGAGCCAACTAAGAGGGAAAACCAAGAGTCAAGTGTATGGAGACTACACTATTTCTCTAATGACTGAGGAAGCTAATTTTAGAAATTGTGGTTCATACCTGAGGGCGAGAAGATTTCTTATATTGAATCTTATTAATAGACAGACTTATCCCCACTCAGAACCTTGGCCAGGCCAGCTGCCCCACCTTGCATGTCAGAGTTGGTCCCTGGAGAAGCAGAGAAGGATGTGTGTCTCCTTGCGAAGCTTATAACCAAGAGACAGAGACGAGGAAGGGGCTTCAGGGCCATGCATGGCCAGTTTTTCTTGGTAAACTCACCCCAGAGTTGGGAGAGACCACAAGGGTAATGCTCAAAGGGCTCCATCCACAAAGAAGTCAAGAGGAGTGAGGAAGCCGTAGATCCGCAATACCCTCCCTGCATTGGTCTATATCAGGGGTTGGCACACTACAGCCCACAGGCCAAATAGGACCCTCTGCTTGTTTTCTAAACAAACTTTTATTGGAACACAGTCCTGCTCATTTGTTTACATATTGCCTGTGGCTGCTTTTGTACTGCAGTGGCAGAGTTGGCTGGTTGCAACAGAGACTAAATGGCCCCCAAACCCTGAGATATTTGCTGTCTGGTCCTTTACAGAAAAAGTTTGCTAACCTCTGGTCTATATTGTTAGTATTGTTTAGTTGGTTGATGTGAAAAAGCCATTAACCGGTATTAGTCTCAGAGAGCTAGGGCAAGCATGTTATAATCTGAATATGCTCACAGGATGGTCGAATAAAAGAGCACTGGACTGGGAGCCAGAAACCTGATTTTAGTCCTGGCTCCACCCTTGACTGGCTTCCTATTGGCGGCTCCTATTCCTATTGGAGCTGGTTAACCCTGAGCATACCTGATATGCCTCATCGATCTTGTGAGGGGACGATGATGCCTGGTCTGCTTCCTTCTGGGGTTGTGAGGATCACATGAAGTCAGGTACAGGGAAGAGCTTTGAAATTGTAAAGTATCGGACAAACGCGAGGCATTATTCAAATGTAATGCTTAAAAAGGAAGCCTTCAGTGCTCGTGAGTTCCCAGAAAAAGGCCCACAGATTGGGATTTGCATATCTCCCGCTGCACATTTCTCCCTGCATCCTACTTGACAGAGTTTGATTTTCTGACATGGTTCATAAGGACACCATCTCCAAGAGTTATTTAAAGTCGCATTTCATCAAGTGAGAGCAATTGTGATTCATTGATGTTCAGTGCCATGCAATGCTTAAGGCCCCAGCCCCTGCCCGGAGTTAAAATCACTCAGACCCAGAGTTTATCATCAGGAGATTTAGAGCTGGAGCTAATGATTGGTTTCATGAAAATTTCCTTCGACACTCGGACTCTTAAGAACCCAAACCAACGTCTAGCCTCCAGTAATAAATTTCAAGCCTCTAGAAAACAGAATTGTATCTTTTGTTCAACAGGCTTGACAACTTGGGTCCTTGGCTCTCTCAGACCCAGGGCAGGTTCCGTAGATTCTGGGAGGGAGAGTGCGCTGACCTGTGCGGTCCCAGCACAGAGCAGTCAGGTCTCAAGTGCCTTCATTTCATGTTTCAAATAGCGCACTCCTGGCCTCTGGGACGCCGAGAGAACTGCTGTGGCAGACCCTCCTGTGTTTTCACTTTTTCTGGATCCATGATTTTAAACAAACTGTGTGACTCTTGATTTTACTTGTGTGGAATCCAAGCTTTAAGACGTCACAGTTGGAAAGGAGAGATGAAGAGAGTCTGAGGAGGGAGAATCAACTGGATTTCTTCCTGTCCATTCCTGACCTTTCCACCTAGCCCAAGGCTCCTCACCTCCCTTCCCAGTTTCACCCACTGCCACCTGCCTTGCTCTTCTTCTGGTCTCCACCTGCTCCAAACTATCCTCTCTGTCACAATTGGCAAATAGTTCTAAAATATCATTTTCATCATGTCCCTTACTTTTCTGTTCAAAAATCTACAAATATCTTCAGCAGTCAGTTGGGACCACAGTGAAGAGGGGAGGCCAGGAAGAATGCAACCAGGCTGGGGGACGAGGAGCCCTGAGGGGAGTAGCCACCAGGGTTGAAAGGGGTCTTGGCTCAGTCTGGGCCAGCTGTGCCATCCATGGGGGTGGGTCGGCTGGAGTAGGGGCCCTGGCATGGCAGTTCAAGTTGTCAAGAATCAGGCTTCTAGATGATGCTTGTTTGACTAGGGCCAGCAGTCCCAAGGAAGGGCAGGCAAAAGCCGGGAGGGGAGTCTGGCCCCCAGCAGACAGGCTTGGCTTCAGGCCAGAGTGCAGGTTGGAGAAGGAACTGATGTGCTCGGCAAGAAATGGAGGCAGAAGCTGGGCAGGGTGGATTTCAGGCCATGCGGACCTGGTCGAGCCAAGGCTCCAAGGAATGTCTTTCCCTCCTTGGCCTCCATGCTGGGGACTGGCTCTGACCAGGGCTGGGCGTGTGGACCCCAGGCACCTTCCAAGTAGAGGTAGGGAAATGGCTCATTTGGGCATTCAGAGCCCTTTAGACCAGTGCTGGGCAATCCGACCTTCTGAGAAAATAGAAAAATGGTATCATATGTGGCTAATGAACACTTGAAATGTGGTTGGTAGGACTGAGGAACTGGATTTTGAATTTAATTTTACTTAATTTTAGTTTAAGTGAGCACACGTGGCTTGTGGTTACTGTATTGGACAGGGCAGGTCTAGATCCCTGCCTGTGACTTACGTCTCCATGAATATCCTCAGAGTCACTCACATGTGCCCTCCAAACCTGCTGGGCGAATGGTGGTGTTCTCTAAGACGTATGGGCTTGTTCTGCCACCTCATCATTGCTCCTGCTGCCCCGCTGCTTGGTCTCCTCGCCCTCTGTTTCACTTACCCGGTCCTGACGGTTCTTTTTGGGTACGAGCCTTCTGCTCCCACAGCCTTCTGTAAGAACCTACACTGCTGCTCCTTATCATTGCCGCCTGCAGCCCTTGTCTGCTCTACAGCTTCTAGAACTACATAATCTTCTGTCGTTCCTCTCTTTACCAAGGCTTTGAAAAGGTCCTTTGTCATTGTGTGAGTCTTGCTTGTTTTCCCATCCCCATGAACCTCTGTCCTATCAAATGAGCTTCATTCTGTAATGAAGTTGCCAACTTGTCATTCTCTAAATACACCTGCAGTCAAGCTTGTGGGCCTTCAAGACAGACGTCACAGTTATTAAAGGTCCTTGGCCTTCTCCGCCATACCAGAGTCACGTACCCAGAGTCTGAGGCCCCAGTCTGCCCAGTGTTCAGGGCTTCCACCCCTCAGACCCACCATATCCACAGACCTTTCCCTCGTCTCTTTTCTTCTCTGCCAGTTCTCATTTCTTCCCTTCCTCTGCTTTCAGGGCCCCACCCTCCGTCTCTAAGACTCCCAGGAGAAAACTCCAAACTTGTGTTACTTTTTGCACAGAGCAATTTAGCTTCTTCTGCTGAGCAATTTCTCCTTCCCAGCCTGTCCTTGAACTTGTCCTTTCACAACCAAACAGGTCCACCACATGTGTTTAGTGAACGCTCTACCAGTCTGTGCCCTGACACGGACCCTCAGCCCTAGCCCACGTTTAAGTCATCAACAAGTTTATGCTTCCTGCTCAGTAGAGTATGGGTTCTGGAGGACAAGGACAGTGCTCGACGGTCCTTCATGTCCCCCGGAGCGGCTAGTAAAGTGCTGGGCACACAGATACACCCAATGAATACTTGTTGAGTTGAATTTATTTGAATTGAAGAGAGAAATCATAGGCAACATCCTTGGCTGCCAGGCTGTTGGAAACATTGAGAAGATGAAAAGGAAAGTTGGTTTGGGGAAGGGAGAGCATATACAAAGGATGAAATTGGGCAAAAATAATGAAATATTTCTCAAAGCTCATAAAGGCCCTTATGTAAGGTACTTATAAATTTTTTAAACTGTAAAATTAATACATTTTATGGAAGGCAAGCCTGTGGTTCTTTTTAAAATACATGGCAGCCTCAAAGGAGTTTTATTCAAAAGAATGACACACCATGAATGCGGTAGTTAAAACATGTGGGCAGCTGGGAAAGAATTAGAATGTTGAGAAAAATCACAAGGGAGGCATATTTTGGTTATTCTGGGACTGCCTCCTAATGTAGGAGCAAAATTATTAAGAATGCTTGTCTGTTGGGATGAGGTATGCATTTCAGCATCTAGGAGGGATCTGGTTAAGGTATTTAGGACAACATTATTGCAGCTAGTTATTGTGAATTGAAGTTATTAACTGAAAAATTGGGTATTTCCAAGTGATTTTCTTTATCACGTTCCTTCAAGATTTCCAAAATTTTTAATTTCCCATTCTGTGTCGTTGCAGATACACATTTTTCTACAGTGGCATCGTGAGCGACGTTCATGTGACTGAGCGTCCTGCCAGAGTGGGCATTCTGCTGGACTACACCAACCAGAGGCTTCTATTCATCAATGCGGAAAGTGAACAGTTGCTCTTCATCATCAGGCACAGGTTTAACGAGGGCGTCCACCCTGCCTTCGCCCTGGAGAAACCTGGAAAATGTACCCTGCACCTGGGGATCGAGCCCCCGGATTCTGCAAGGCACAAGTGATCACTGGCTTTCACAGTTTGAAGAGCAATAATTCACATCTGGGGGGGTCTCTTGTTCTTTCCCTCGGGTGCTATATAGCATTCAAAACGTCTCCCACACATTCACGCTAATGATAGTTACGTGCACTGTGATTAGCACGTGAGCAAAAGCACCAAGAAAATCTTGACTTTGTAGAGCAGCATGTGAGTAGAGAGGATGGAAAACAACCTCCACCCTTGGGTTTATATACATTTCAGTTCTTCCCTAAATTAAAAGGATTTATACCTGACTTGGGAACCGAAATAGAGAAATGGACTTCCACCTGTTTTATTGGTAAAAGAAATCCTTGGATGGACAGGTCTGAGTGAGGGGAAGGTTGTACCGTTAATATCTCCTCTGACAAGAAACACAGACTTTTTCCACAAGAAGAATGTCACCTCACTCCACTAAAGGATGATAAATCCTAATCATTAGAGACAGTGTCGATAATGAACTAACCATTCTAAGTTGATAATGAACTCTTTTGTAAAAATCTATACTGTAGAACACGAGTCTCTTTCCCCTGAAATTTTAAATGTAGAAAAGTGCTAGATATTAGGAATATCCATTTTGTTAAATAAATGGTTAGAGTCTATAAAACAAAGCATGTGTGTGAACTTATTCTTTGTAACTTATGGTCTGGCATCTCTGAATGAGGACAAACTGCGGAGTAAATCACCATCACACTTCAGCGGGTGCATTACTACTAATTTCCATGTCAGAATTTTACATTTATATGTTTTAAAATCTAAACATGTTCAGCCCATAGTTACAGTCAACTACTGGAAGCTGGGAATCTCTTTTTGCTAAAATAAAATGGTTGGCCATTTTTAAAGATTATATCGAAATCTCAAAATATTCCTTAAATATGTGTACAAAGTTGATAAATCTAGAATGCATGTTAAGGTGATTGCTCTTGTTTTCTATAATATAGCTACTTTGTTTGTATTTACAGATTTTTTAAATTTAAAAAATTTTTTTTTTGGTGAGGAAGATTGACCCTGAGCTAGCATCTGTTCTCAATCTTCCTCTTTTTGTTTGAGGAAGATTGCTGCTAAGCTAACATCTGTGCCAGTCTTCCTCTATTTTGTATGTGGGCCCCCTCTACTGTATGGCTTGATGAGCAGTGTGTAGGTCCATGCCTGGGATCTAAACCAGTGAACTCCAGGCCACTGAAATGAAGTGTGTGAGCTTAACCACATGCCACTGAGCCAGCGCCCCAATTTTTTTAACATTATGAATTCAGTTATTTGTTTTCTTGAATCAAGTGATAATATCCTACTTGTGGGATATATTCTAAAATTATTGTTTATTAGCTAGAAAATCCAAACTGGATCTGTAGCTGGATTAATAGGAACCCTTCAAAGCCAACACCACCCTGCTTGAAAGTTATAGCAGCTGCTGGTAAGATGGATCCTGGGGCCAGCCCCGTGGCTGAGTGGTTAAGTTTGTGTGCCTTGCTTAGGTGGCACAGGGTTTCTCCGGTTTGGATCGTGGGCATGGACGTGGCACCGCTCATCAGGCCATGCTGAGGTGGCATCCCACATGCCACAGCTAGAAGGACCCACAACTAAAAAATACGATTATGTACTGGGAGGATTTGGGGAGAAAAAGCAGAAAAAGAAAAAAAAAGAAGATTGGCAACAGTTGTTGGCTCAGGTGCTGATCTTTAAAAAAAAAAAAGATGGCTCCTTAGCAAAATAGGAGGAATAACTTGTGCTTAGTCCAGAACGTTATCTTCAGCTTTTTTCAGGTCTTAGAAGAATCATCATCAGGTTCTGACTGATCAGCATGGTCATTATTACTTTTTTTGGCAGGAACGTGGTATAATTAAAAACAATAACAACAGTAGCAGCAGCCACATGATTTTAGAATTTGCCTCAGTTTGAGTTCCTCCAAAAGTGGACCTTGAGATAAAGATTTCGTGCTGGTTGTTTACACAGGAAGTGATTCCAGAAAGCACACATGAGGAAGTGCGGAAAGTGACAGGAGGTGGACAGAGCCAATATAGGACATGTGGTATGAGTGGGTTACTACCACTGCGAGCAACAGGGGCTCATGGGAGCTGGGGGCACCCCTGGAAACCCATGGAACATGCCGGAGGCTGGCATCTAACCACTTCTGTACAACCCCATCGGTTGAGGTTGCCCCAAGAGGCATTAAATTCTCATCCCCACCTTTCCAGGTTCCATTCCTTGCTAAGCTCTCATGATCCCAAGAAAGCCTTCCGACAGAGGAAAGAGAAACAGAGCCGCCTGACGCAGAGTTGTCAGCGTGCTGACCACCAACGAGTGAGCTCGGGGTAGATGGGGCAGGGCACCAGCCTGTCTGCGATCAAGTTGGAAGCAGCTCTATTATGAAGCCATGATAGTGGGAAGAACTAGGTTTGAATCTTGAGTCAGGCCTTTCTAGGTGATGACTTTCAGTGATTCTTCAGTTACACCTTTTTCTCAGGATAATTGTAAACATCAGATTAAATAAGCATGTGAAATGACACAGCGTTTTGTAGTTTGTAAAACATCCTGACAAGGGACTCCAGAGATCCTCTAAGGCCGACCCTCCACCATCCCCGTTGAGTGGCCTTCCTGCCTCTGACTCCGTGGCAGGTGGATGGGGGACGTTCCAGCTCTGGGGTCAGCAGGTCCCTGGTTTAGCTGCCTCTGTCTGCTGAGCCACAGGAGATTTCCTGGTTGGTTCCGAGGGGATTAGTCCAGTGCAGACAGGCTGAGTGAAGTTAATGCTATTTCACCATGTCTTCCAGCAATTCTTTCCACCTTGGTCCTTCTTGATCCTTCTTTGAGTCCATTTTTCCTTCTTCTTGCCCTTCCTCTTTATACCACACAGATCCTCAGAGAGAGGAAAGGAAATCGGCAAATTTTGGTCAAAATTGCTCCTCTGGAAATCTGTCAGTGGTATTTTTTAGTTTAATAACACGTGTAGCACATGCATCATCTCTTTTAATCCTCATCAGAAACTTGCACAGTAAAAATCGTTGCCATTTTATAGATGAAGAAACCAGTCTCAGAGCAGTTAAATAACTTGTTCACGGTCACAGCCGGTGGGTGGCAGAGCGTGGATTTCGATACAGCTCAAATCCTGAGCTAAGAGAATAAAATGATTATATTTTGTTTCATATTTTTGTCACAGATCATTTTTTCCACATGTATGTGGTGTGTGACAACTACATGTCTGTGTACATGCACACTCTCATACACACATACACATATGGGTGCATACACTGATACATATACATTCTCTTCCCTCTTGAACCGACTTCCTTCCCAAACCTCTGATTTGTTGTGGATGCTGTCATGGGATAATCTTTGATTCCTTCCTCCATATCGATGACCTGAATTAGGATTCAAAAGAGTCTATAACATTCTATTTGTGGAGAAAAGACTTTCATGCATGAAACTACAATGCTTCTTCTAAGAGATACAGGGCCAAAATAAAGGAGTTTGTGGGAAAAAGAAAGAGAAATGAGGATTAACACCATGGTCCTTCTCTGTTTGCATACACACCTGGCACCTCTGCACGAATGTATTCTTTGTCAAAGGTAGAAATATTTTTGTATTGGAACAAACCAGAACATGTTCTTGTTGTTTTTCTGGGGGTGCTTCCCTGATGTCCGACAGAACTGAAGTATCATCTTCCATCACACCCACTTACAAAATTGTATGCTATAAGCACCAAACACTAACACTCTCCCATCAGAAGCATCCTTCAGGCTTCAGAGTGGCCTGTGTCTGAAGTCCCTTATCATCCTCACTGTGTCAATTACCCATTAATCATCTCAAGTGTTCAGTTGCTGAAAGAACTCACAGGACTCACAGTTTATACTCGCGGAAGAGTTTCATCGCGGGCAAACCATACTGTATGGCCACATGCAGAAAGGCTAGGCATTGAGAGGGGTCCTGATATCAAAGCGCAGCCTTGTTTGTCCTCCCACTGTTGGGTTGCACAGTATGCACATGTCTCCAGGCCTCAAGCCACCACCAGTGTGTGTGTGTGAAGCATGTTGGTACCAGGAAGAACGGGGCGAGGCGAGGTGAGGGGGACCTCTCATAATGTGCTGGTCACATGCGCACTTTCTAGCTGTGCAACTATCCTTAACCTTGGAAACTGGCCTCCCTGCTCCCCACAGGCTCCACCAAAACCAGTGCATATCATAAACCCAATGATTATTACTAAGCGATGCTCACAGACTGGTATATCCGGCTCTGAAACAATGGATGGATCCCGTGGTTACAGAATGTCATTTATTGTTAGTTAATAGAGTCCATGGCACTGGGCAAGAGTCAGTAGCTCTGTGGATACGCATGTGGTCAGCAAAGACGAGCAGAAATGAACCCATGCTCGGTGCGGGCTGTCCTGCTTTCCTGAGCTCAGCTGCTCGAGTGTGTTTCAAGAAGAATAATAGTAAAAGCTGAATGCCTCTGCCACTGATCGCCGTCCCCTCATGTCCTGATTTAGTGAGAGCCACAGAGTGATCCTGGCCACATCTCAGAGGTGAATAAGCTTGGACCTGATTTCCAGCCCCCTTCACAGCGCTCAGGAGGGAACATGTTTTCTGGACTGTTTTCAGATAGGAGATCAACACTCTCACTTTCCTTTACTACCCTCAAAGTGTATGTGGTTGTGCACCACTTTACATGGCCCTGTTTCAGTCTTAACTCCCTTTCTGTGCTGAGTTTGTTTTTTCCAGTTGATATCAGTAATTTCAGATCCCCAAATAGTGTACGAACTGTGAGAAAGCTTGAGAATAGTTGGAGGACTGAGAATGTTTAACCTGGAACAAAGACATCTCAGGGAAGGACGTAAGAGGTCTTCAAAGATTTGAAGAGCTGTCATGCAGAAGGAATTAGGCTTATTTTGATTTTTCACTAGGATCAGTAGGTAGAAGTCCCAAGACTGAGGAATTCGGTTTAAGAGAAGGAAGAGCATCACATCAGTGACAGTTGGCTCAGGGAATGCTGCTCAGCAGGAAATGAGCTCTCAGAGTCAGGCTGAATGATCAACTGTCTAGAATATTAAAGAGCATATTCTTGCTTTGAGTTCCAGATCCCTGGTTTTTAAACTGTGTTCCTGGAGCACTAGGTTTCCACAGAGGTGCCTGAGGGCCAACATGGGACCCAATGGGAAAACCAAGTCGGCATAAATTCAAACTCCTATCCCGTTTTATCACGGCAGCTCAATTTTGATTGGTTTTACACGTTGGGTTCCATATAATAACTCATTTGATGAACAGATTTCTATGGTTAAGTAAAGTTTGAAAGGTAGATAACCAAAAGGATCCAAAAGTCTTAAATCTTCCATTCTTTCAGGGTCCTTTTTCCTTTACTATCCAAATACTGATATCATATTGAATTCAAGAAATACTGTTTCCTATCCCAAATTTCCAAGAATTTCTGTAGATGATTACATTCTCCTGGTTGACATCTCTGACCTCTTCCTTCTGAGTTCTCCTCCATCACCTCTAGCCACGTCACCACCACCTCTTCATGCTTCCCTAGTCCCATTTGGTTTTCACCACCCCAAAACATTGACACAGTGCTCCATTTATTCCTTAAGGCAGTGCTGACACAAGACTGACCCTGGAAGTGTTGAACATAGCTTTTGTTGAAGACTTGGGGTTAATGAGGGAAATTTCTTCACAGGTCATGAAACAAAACAAAACTGAATGTGAAGCCTCCAGTATTGCTAGGAGCCCCTTCTGATCTCTTCTTCAGCCTGGTCTTCCAGCTATACTGAACAGGCTGGCCTCTCCAGTCTACTTTGTTCTTTACATTTCTAGCTTTTGCTCAAACTCTGTTTTTCAGATCAGAAACACGAAAGAAAACACCAAAAGACAAAGACCTCTCTTACCTATATAGACATCTTTTGTAATAAAATGAGAGCAAAATTTTGCCCTTCTGTCTCAGCCTCTTATATCCTGCCCAGGCTCCAGGCCTCTCTTTGCATGACTGAAAGACCTAGTAAAGCAGTTCCCTAAAGAACACTCCTCTCCCACAGATGAATTTGGCCATCACCTCCTGGAATGGTTTTAGAATCCCCTTAGTACCTTCCGTTCAGTGGTTTTCTGTAGAACTAGCTAGTGATTGAAAATCCTTTCTCAAGCTAACCAGAGCTCCCAGACTTCGTGTAGGGCTGCCCTGACACCACGGAGGACTTCACTGCATGCTAGGCATTCCAGGGAGAATGACACCCTTCCAGAGTATAAAATTAGGATTTTATAATGCATAAGGACATCCTCAAAATATCAGGAGGCAATGGGTAAAATAATAAGAAACGAAATGGGGAAGGAGAAGCACAAGTCATTCATTCCACACACACTGACTGAGGACTCACTGTGACCTGGTCCCTGTTCTAGGTCCTGGGGAGATGGCAGTCATCAAGTCAGACAAAATCTCTGCTTTCAAGGAACTTATATTCTAGTGGAGGAAGACAGACAATAAGCACATTTATAGTATGTCGGTGGCGAATGAAAACTAGGAAGAAAAATAAATCGAGGTAAGAGAATAAAGAGCAATAGGAGGTAGGGCTGCAGCGTGTTTTAGGTATGATGGGAAAGTATCTCTGATAAGGCGATATTTGAATAAAGACCTAAACGAAGTGAGAGGCACACCATGTGGATATCTGTGGGGGGAGAGCATTCCACAGAAGGAACAGCAAGTGTGGCGGTCCTGAGGCAGCAGCATGGGGATGCACTATCAGACCAGTGAGGAGGCCAGCAGGGCTGGAGTGGAATAAACATGGGGAGGGCATGCTGTAGATACAGTCAAAGAGTAGCTGGGAACCAGTTCCTAATGGCCTTCAAGGCCAAGTAAGGACTTTAGGTTACATTCTGGGGGAGTTAACAAGAAGTAACAGGTATGAGGAGCAGACGCAATGGCAGTCTCAAAGAATGGGCCTTTCACGTGTTTGGGTATGATGGTTTTCAACATTAAACAGAATGTTTCCTAAAGGCCCCCTGGGCTGGCCTCTGTCAGCTCTCAGCTCTTGCAGAGAAAGGGCCTGGTGTAGGTGGGAGAGAAGAAAAGGCGCTCTTTGTCTCCTTCTCGGCTCTGTTCAGGAGCCCGGTGGCCCTGCTCACTTCCTGCTTCAAGGGGAGCAGCCCCTGCCAACTGGTTGCCGTTAGGACCACCTAGTGCTGAACTGTGGGGGACAGCTGCTACTGTACCCAGGACGGCTTTGTGCTGAAACGAATCTGCTTGCCCTTGATGACAAGTTGGCAACCACCAAAGATGGACAAATATAAGCACATTTGAAGGAAAATTTTCATATCTTTTCAACTGTGTGATTTTGCAGTTATAGGAAAGATGAGCTAATGATGTCATCCAGGGAGGTTGCCTGGCCAAACAGGGCCTCATGGGTATGTATATATGCGTATACATGAGTGTTTGTGTGTGTATCTATATGTTGTGCATATTTCATATATGTGACTGTGTGTATATGTATGTGTGTGTATTGAGAGGGGTAGAATTGTCATTACAATTCAGGGCTAGTTTTCCCATTAAGGATCTAGAAACTGGATTTGTAAGAGCTCCCAAAGTTTGTCAGGTCCAAAGGGACTCACTCACGTTAATCAAGCTCACAAAAGACTCATTAATAATTTAGAATGCCTATTGCTTAATTTATAGTGAGAAACAAATTGCCAAAGGGGCGGAGAACAGTATCTGCTGGTCAGAGGATTCTCTCTCCGGGTCCTGAGCTCCAAGACCTGCAGGAACCCACTGCAGTCCGTGTCGGGCTGCAGACACTACCTGCAGCTTTTTACCTCTCCAGTCCCACATACGCAGGAGAATTGATGTATTTTCACACGGGATGCCCCCTGACAGTTAAAAGACTGTTTGGCAATCAAGGCAAGTTATGCGGCTGATCCTAAGGACCAGCATTGTTGAACTGCTGTGGCCAGCCATGGGCCAAATATTTGGGTTTGCTGCTCCCAGTACCTTCTTCCTGCGTCAACGCTGGACTTCCCTGAGAAATCCTTCCCTTTGGGTGTTCTTACCTATTTGGTCCAACTTCTTACATTCACTTTTTTTTTTTTTAAGATGCCTTAAGATTATTTCCCAGCATACAGTTTTCTTCTTCATTTAGAAGATTAGATTTCTAGGCTCTGTTCCTCCTGTTTTTGATCTGAAAAATATCATGCCTGTTGTGATGACTGTTATGGATGATCGAGCATCATCGATTGTGTGAAGATCTTACTAATTTAATACTCAGAAGGAAACCATACTTGCAAGTGCTTGTGTGACTACTCACCGTGCTCCCGTGGATTGTCATTCAAGGATTTGTTGTAATTGATGAGAGAGAGTGGTTCAGAACACAGCTCCTAGAATCGTGTAGATCCAGGTTGAGATAGGCTCTGCTCCTTCAGAGCTGTGTGACTTAAGCAAATTGTTTCGCCTCTCTTAGAGTCCTCACTGTAAGACAGGAATTGTACTAATTACTATGTCATAAGGTTGTTCATTCATCCATTCATTTGGATACTAACTAAGGGGCAAGGCACTGCTGTAGGTACCAGAGATTCAGCAGTGGTCAAAACAAACAAATATCACTGTCCCCAGGAAGTTTACACTTTAGTGAGAGGAATGACATACAACACAGGCGATAAATAAGTAAACAGTTGAGTATCAGAAAGTGATAAGTGCTAGACAGAAAAATAAAGCAGGAAGGGTTGTTGTACATGTAAATGAAAGAATTAATGTATGTGAAGTTCTTAGCAGAGTTCCTGGCATATAACAATAGCAAAAAAAAATTTAGCTGTTATTAATTCAGTTATAATACAGGGACTTCTTAAATTAAATAGCTTAGTGTACCCCTCGGAATAGCATGATGTCCTCACACACACCTGGGCATGTAGCTATGCCACCCATGACCACTGTATCTCCAATGAAAGTTTAATGTTTCCCTGCTTTTACTCACTGCAAGCATTCAGGAAAAGAATTTAGAACAAGAGATAAATTATCCTTAATTTCACTACTCAGCGAGAAGCAGTGCTAACATGTGGTGTGTATTCTCCCAGGCTCTTCTTTTTTTCTTTAGACACACACACACACGCATTTTTTAAAATGCAAATAAAATCACCATTATGTAATCTGCTTTTGACATTGAAAGCTATGTCATAAGCATCTTGTCACATCAACAAGCATAGATTCACGTCACTATTTTAACGCCCAGTTGTATTTCTCCGAAAAGATGGATCTTAAACTACTCAACCAGTCTGTTATTGATAGATATTCAATTGACTTCCAAGTTTTCGTTTCTATAAAAATGCTTTGGTTTTAAAAGCACCACCTTCGCTATGTGGCCTAGAGTTTTTCTTGGATTTGTCTTAGGCGAGTGTGTATTGTTTCCGTATCTGCTGTAAACTTGAATCAGTTTTTATAAGCCTGGGGGGAAGACTGAATAGAAACTCCTTCGTGGGGAAAGTCTGATGCCCATTTTATTTACAGTCAATTCAATGTAATTATATTTAACTATACTCAGTGTAAATATATTTTTATAACATCTACTATGTCAGGACACCATACTGATTCCAGCTGGGAACCAAGATGAGTAAGATGCAATCCCTACCTCCAAGGAGGCCAAGACGGGAACAAGGTACTATCTGTAATCAGAATACGGGCCAGAAGAATCGTGAGGTTACAAAGTGGGGAGAGAACATGTCTGTTTGTTGTGACAAAATGATAATAAACATTAGTTTTATGTCACTAGCATGTTGGACAAGTAAGACTCCTGAAATATAGTCATACAAGACGTTTTATTTTTGTCTCCTTGTGCCATTTTAAGTTCATTCAGTGAAAGGAAGTTCTAAATGGGAGGGCTTCTGTGGGCTTTCTTAAAGAAATGTCTGAGCTAAGCCCTGATAGCTGAGTAGAAGGTGACCAAGTTGAGGGGAGTGGGCTGTGGGGCAGAAGGAGGGAAGAAGACAGTGTCCTGATGTAGAGTAGAGGTGAGGAGGTGAGAAACAGCCCAATGCCCTAGAGAGATTCAAAGATCAGCATCACTGTGTGTATATTGGGGGGCGGCTATCAGGATGGCTCTAGGGCATGGTATGGAGGGCTCCTATGGAGGGAGAAATGTTCTCTGAATACCCCAGGTTTTAGCTTAGGGTCTCACACAAAGAGGGCAGTAAATAAATATTTCATTGAAAATTAAATCTAAAAATCATATAGGTTTTTGGCTCTTTAACACAATTTCGCTTCTTACAATTCAGAACCTCTAGGTATCAACTTCCACTTCTCTTCTCTGGAAAATTTGAGGGCTGTCTCCAAACGGTGCTTCGATTGCGAGTCAGAGGGAGAAGAATGTTCAGGTCCCGTAAGCAGAAGCCCCCACAGAGTGTGTTTGCTGGTAACCAGCTTTTCTCAGGTTGTAATGACTGAAGGTGAATGAAGGATTGAAGGCTTCGGGTGGAGAATTATCAATCAGATAGGGTGAATAAACTCAATTCCTCCAAAACACGAGCTATTTCAAAGGTCACTGTCTTAAGAAAAAATGTTGATCAATGGTCTCTTTCAGGAAATCAACTCCGTTGAAATATAATTTATACTGCTTTTTACTTTTGTCTTCTTTCAGTGAATTAAACTATAGCCACCCTTATTTCTTGATTTGCATTTCTCCTTAATTATTCTGAGCTAAGTTCTACCCTGCAGAGCTCCAGAAAATGGATAAATTATGCATTTGAGTGTTGAACAGCAGCGGCAGACACCTACACACCAAACCCTGGCTGTGTGGGATGCTGCCATTTTCCCCAAGTCATTTCAGGTCAGAAACACCTCTGTTCCCAAAGAATAGCATTTAGGGCCCCCACACAAGGTCTTTGTACGTACCGTATAATGTGAGAATCAAGGGGCAGTATATTGTTCTGTACCCTTCCAAGAATAAGTTCAAGGCTGTTTTCCTGACCCTACAGAGGCATAGAGGGAATTCTGCAATTATTCAGCCCACTGGGAAACCCTGGAAATTACCTCTGTAGGGCTTAAAGTTCAAAATCAGAACACGAATTTGCTTTATTCCCCTCCCATCAGCAGAGCTTTCTTTTAAAAATAACGTTAACACACATGATTGTGGAACTTTTGGAAACTATAGAAAATCATGATGACTAACATAAAAGGCATCCAGAATTCTGCAGACTTAGACTCAGTTGGTATGTTCTTTGGCTGTGCGCCTGTTGCGTTCTGCCTTCCCTAATGCAGATGCAATGCCTAGAGGTCTCACAGGCATCTTGCAATGGTGAAGATGAAACTCACATGCTGGGCATGAAGGAGCGTGAAGATAGAAGCCTGGATTCTCAGCGACGTTGTTGAGACACCAGACTGGTTCTCTATTGGCTACCTCTCAACTTTTTGTTGCTTGAGTCAAACATACCTCTATCCTTTTAAGCTACTAAAACATCTCTTTCAAAGTACAACATTCATTCAGAAAAGTGCATCACAAGTTTACGGCATGATGAATTTTTTTCAAAGCTGATATGTATATGTAAACATGTTTGATATTAATACACGTGTAGACACATAATATATGTATATCAAGAAGAAGAATATTACAATAAGTGACTCCTAGTCACTCCCACTTCCTTGAATAACCATATCTGAAAGTAACCATAGATTAGTTTTACCTGTTTTTGAGCCTTATATGAATGGAATCACGCAGCATTTTTTTTTTCTTTGTTTCTGGCTGCTTTTGCTCAACATTATATTCGTGAGATTTATCCACACTGTCGTTGGTAGCGTTATTTGTTCATTCTCTTTGCTGTATTGTAATATAATTTATGAACAGACTGCAATTTGTTTATTCATTCTGCTGTTGGTGGACATTTGAGTTGTTTCCAGTTTGGGTCTATTACCAATAGTCCTGCCATGAGCATTCTTGTACGTATCTTTTAGTGAACATGTATGCGCTTTCTGCTAGGTGAATACTTAGGAACAGAATTTCTGGGTCATGGCATGCATGTGTTCAGCTTCAGGAGATGCTGCCAAAGTAAGTTTGAATTTACACTCCAACCAGTGCCACGTGAGAGTTTCAGTTGCTTCTTATTCTTGCTATCACTTGGTATTATTTGTCTATTTCATTTTAACCATTCTGTTGGGTACATGGTGCTTCCACATTGTGGTTTAAATTTACATTTCCACCATGGTTATAAAAGCTGAACACCTTTGTATATATTTATTGGCCGTTTGGATGTCTTTTTTTTTTAATGTTTCTGTTCAAATATTTTTCCCATTTTTCTATTGTGTCATCTGTCTGTGTACCTCTCTTTCTTTTGGTAGGATTTCTGTGTGTATTCTGAATATGAGTCTTTGCTGCATATGCATTTTGCAAGCATCTTCCCCTCATTCTGTAGCTTAATTTTTCACTCTCTTAATGATACTTTTTGATAAACAGAAGATTTTTATTTTACTAAAATTCAGCCTAGCTTTTTTTCCTTATGGTTAATTTTTCTGTTCAATTTAAGATAGCTTTGCCTACCCTGTGGTTATGGAAATATTGTCATATGTGTCTTTTTAAAAGTGTTGTTGTTTTATTTTAGCTTTCACATTTAGGTTTTATATACATACGTAGATAGATACACACACATATATAAAACTGATATATATAAAATATATATAACTGATTTTTTGTGTATGGTGTGAGGTAGAGTCCAAAATGCAGTTTTTCTCTCATGGAAAAAAAATTGATCCAGCCCCATTTATGAAAGATCACGGGGCCAGTCCCATGGCCCAGTGGTTAACTTTATACACTCCGCTTTGGTGGCCCAGGGTTCCACTGGTTTGGATCCCAGGTGTGGACCTAGCACTGATCATTAAGCCATGCTGAGGCGGTGTCCCACACAGCAGAACTAGAAGCACCTACAGCTAGAATATACGACTATGTACTTGGGGCTTTGAGGAGAAGAAGAAAAAAAAAAAAGATTGGCAATAGATATTAGCTCAGGACCAATCTTTTTTAAAAAAAGAAAGATCACCCCTTCCCCTTGCACTGCAATGTCACCTTTGTCACAAATGGTTAGGCCATTTCAAATTGTTTTCTGTTGTTACTAGCAGCCAGAGAATCACATCTGGTGTATGCGTATGCCTATGAGTGTGTATAGACATAGTTTCCTTCACATCCTTAAATATTCATTAAGAATATAGTTGTTACTGGTGCTAAATATTCCATTATAATGATGTGCCATCATCTGTTTAACCAATGCTCTGATACTGGATGTTTGTTTCCAACTTGTGGTTATCCTAAATGATTCTAAAATGACTATCTTTGTCTAGAAATATTTTTACATACATCGCATTATTTTCTTTAAATAAGTTCCCAGAAATTGAATTATGGGTTAAAATGTACAACTTTTTAAAGGCTTGTGATAGAACTGCCAAATCAGCATACAGTTAAACACAACCTGAAAAAAACATATGGAGAATGTGCCTTTAAGTTACCATAACTCTGCAGTTGAGAAGCCAATAATACCACTTTTAAAATACAAACATATTTATCTAACTTTCTTCTGATGGGCTTCATTGATTTTTTTCTGCTATTAACCTTCCTAATGACAACAGGGCTCAGCAAAATGGAAATTACTTGACCTAAATGTGAGATTGGCTGTCTGGGGAAACTAAAAAATTTCATCGTAAAAGCCTGCCTGTTTCATTCCTGTGCTTGCAGTGAGGGATGCAAGCGATGGGCCAGGCTGTTCCTACACCCAGCATATTATTCATGCCCTCTCTTTTAGTTCCTAGATTCTTTTTTTCCTTTATTTTGCTATTGCCATTTCTTCCCTTCATAGATTGTAGAGGCTTCAGGGATGAGACGGGAATAACGTGGTGTTCTGGAGGATGTAGAACTTGATTGGCGATGGGGTGGGAGACGGTGGTCGGCAGCTGCTCCTAAACACTCCACAAAGTTCTTCATGTTTTGATTTCACAACCAACGAAGGAAAGGAGAGATGGAGAAAAGATGAAGCAGAGTCTGGGGGAGGTGGAATTCCCACTCTAAAGGGGTCGTGAAAGACTCAACTCAGAAAGACCGCAGAGCACTCGTGGTCATCTCTCCTAAGCCAAAGGTGCCACCGGTGCTGGTCTGAAGAGTTTCAGAAAACAGACCCTTCTGAGTTAGAGACGGGGGCCCTCTCAGCTGTTGTGGTGATGCACGGTTTAGTCGGGGGGCTCTGCGTCACCTTCACAAAGGCGGGGATTTATTCTTCAGAGCAAAGGCAAAACCATGTCCCATAAGCTTCAGGGAAAGGGTCTCTGTAAGTAGATCTGCAGTGTTGAACCGGCTGGCTGCAGCCTCAGCCACAGGACAGTACCGCAGCTCTAACGCTCGCAGGTCTGCAGCGGCCTTCTGGGCCGGCCCAGAGACATCTGTCTGGCCCCAGAGGAAGGCCCCTGCATGGTTTGTGCAGGATCGGAAACAGTGGTACCTGGGCACTAATTATAAGCATGTGGAGAAAACTATTCTGTTACCTTTCTGACTCAGGCAGGTGAGAGGGCAGCCAGGAGCTCCTAGAGAAGCCTGGGGACCTGCATTCCTGGCAGGAGTGACTCACCCGCCTCCGCGGACCACCTAGGAAGGCGCCTGGGCCTTTAAGGCTTGCAGCCCCGGAAGGAGGGGACGAAAATGGATGCTTTGGGGAGGGGTCCCCCTGGGAACCTCATGAGCTCGGGCAGTCACATCAAACTATGGCCAGACTTCAGCAATCTTTGAATAAACATCTCCAGTTTCTTGCTTTAGTATATCTATTGTGTTGTTATTGTTGCTGTTGTTTGTTTGTTTCCCTTTGAAAATCTCTGATTTTTGTCTTTCCTGAAGAAAGTTGGGGGGAAAAGAAGTTCCAGACTGTTGTGGTTTGAATTGTGACTCACAAGGAGCTGTGTTGAAGCCCTGACCCTCGTACCTATGAATGTGACCTCCTTTGGGAACAGGGTCTCTGCAGATGTTATCAGCTGGAATAGGGTAGACCCTAAAGCCAATGACTGGTGTCCTTATATGGAGAGAGAAATTGGAGACAGAGAGACTCTCACAGGGAAGAAGCTCTTGTGGAGACGCAGGCAGAGGTTAGAGTGGCACATCTGTAAGCCAAGGAATGCCAAGGATCGCGGGCAACCAGCGACCACCAGCAGCTTGGGAGAGGCAAGGAGGAGCTCTCCCCTAGAGCCTTCGGAGGGAGCACGGCCCTCCGGGCACGTAGGGAGTAAACTTTTGTTGTTTCAAGTCACCCAGTGCGTGGGAATTTGTTACTGCTGCCGAGACACGTGGATGGAGCAGAGATTGAACTGTGCTTGGCTACAGCGCCCGTCCAGCCTGGCGCATCCCCTTACAGCCTGACTTACCCAAGTCGCATAGGGAGATTCAGAGGCACTGAGAACTGACAAGGCACGTTACACAGGTCTAGCTGGACCTGCATTTTTTAAATTTTGGTAAGAAACACATAACATAAATTTTGCCATCTTAACCATTTTTAAGTGTACGGTTCAGTATATTCACGTTGTTGTGGGACCGGAATATTTTCTCAGGGTCAGAAGATAGTATACTTTTTAAAAGTGATTGTCATACAATTATTCTCACTCTTCACTCCCTGAAGGCTGAGGACAAGCCTGATTCTCTCAGGCTTGTTGTGCTGATTTTCTCTCTTAAGGGTACAAAGTTTACATTGAGTCAAGCAGGTTAATATGAGGTCTTGGATTTTGAAATTGTAATGAGGTAATCTCTTAGCAACTAAGCTTAAAGCTAATGTCAGGCTTCACTTGAAATTGCCTGTTAAGATAGCTTTGGTCAATCATTGCTAGGTTTCAAAAAAAGAGCGTGTGGGCCGTTCTTGCTCCATTGTGATAAATGTGACGACTCAAGGATTTAGCGGTGGACAATGGGATGTAGAATTCGATTGATCTGGCACGGTGCCCGCCGCTTTCTAGAATGAGGAGAAAGTTG